TTTGCAGGACAATTTGAAGTCAGCCGGAGTGATGCCTCAAAGCTTCATTTTTTGTTTTCTCAGGACATCTTTGGTAATTCGGGGTCTTTGTGCTGCTATGCAAATCTGATGTTTTTTGTTACATTTCTGTAAATAATGCTGATTGGATTGTTATGGGCTTCCATCACATCTGTATAATGAAACTTTACTATATTTACTTGTTGTTTCTAGTAGTGTTCTTGTGGAGTCTTTAGGGTTTTCTATATAGAGAGTCATGTCATCCACAAATAGTGACAGTTTGACTTCTTCATTTCCTATTTGGATGCCTTTTATATCTTTCTCTTGCCTGATTGCACCCGCTAGGACCTCTAATATTATATTGAATAACAGTGGCGTCAAATCCATTTTTAACTTATAGAACTCCTGTCTGTTGTATCCCCAACATTTTGTCAATAGACCCCTTTTCATACAGCTCTGGTGACCAGGAGTTTACTGCCTCATAAGTAACCCATTGCATGCGAGATAGTTCTTGCTCTTAGAATGCTCTTCCCTTTGTTGAACTGAAATCTACCTTTCCACCCTCTCTTTGCCTCTAACTTTACATTCTAGAGCAAAACAGAATTGATATTCTCTTTATAATAATAATTGAAGTTATCATTCAAGATTATTAAGGAATCTTCCAATTTCTGTATAAACGATTGAGTTTCTGGAGAAATAAATTATTATAATCCTTGAATACCAAACGCCATAAGCTTCAAAAAAAAAGCAGGAAGTTAAAGGAGACAAGTGTTCTGAGATGGCAGAGCACTGAATTGACCATTAATTTCAGTTTATATAGGTAAGAGATAAGGATGGTGTATAATTGTATAACATTTATCATTGAATTTAAGTTAAAGCTATACTGTCTCTGACTCTTTCCTCATAAAGTTGAGTTTCTATGTTTAACAAAAAGAGCAGAACTTCTCAATAATATCTAAAGGTTTAATTTTGTAGTTCCAAAGAATCTCAATTTGTAGTCTTGAGATTATGTGTTGTTATAGGAAACTACATTTGTTAGAATATTTACTGTAGAAAATGATATTTGTTCACTTAAAGTTCAAAGTTCTGTTTGCCAAAGGAGATTGATTATATTCACTAAATTTATGATGAGTAACTACCCATCTAGTTCTAATTAATTCAACAAGAATAAAAGACTACAGAATCTTTTAAAATTAGGAACATCGATAAAGGCATTCTTTATTGTAAAAAAATTGTTTTCTTGTAAAATAAATAAGTGACTCTAAGTGACTACCTTTTAAATTTTTATTTATTTACTTTTAGAATAAGTAATACATTTTCATGATTAAAAAATCAAAAGATACAAATTATACTATGAAAAGTCTCTCTTCTACCTGTCTCCTGCAATCCAGTTGTCCTCTCTAGCAGTAATCAGACAACTGATTATATTAGTTTCTGTTAAATTTTTCCAGGGATATTTTCTGCAATATAAGCAATTATAAATATATATATTGCTACCACTATTTCTTACAGAACCAATAGTATGCAATACACATTGTTGAGGACCTTGCCTTTTCACTTAATAGATCTTGAAATTATCAGTATACAAAGAACTGTCTCATTCTTTTTTATGGTTGCAGAGTATACGTAGAAATACACTGCAGTTTGACCTGTTTATTAATAAATGTTTCCAATCTTTTGCTACTACAAACAAAGATTAAATTTTTAGTGGTGGAATTTCTAAGTCAAAGGGAATGTCCATTTAAATTTTGTTAAATACCACCACCAAATTGTCCTCCATAGAAGTTTTCCAATTTACATTCCCACAAACAAAATAGGAGAGTACCTGTTAAACTTCCCCTCACCACTCTATGTCTTATTAGTCTTATAGATCTTTGTCAATGTGATGAAAAATAATACTTCAAAGAAATTCTAATTTGCATTTCTCTTTTTATGGGTAGGAGTGAGCATTTAAGAACCATTTCTATTTCTTTTTGTGTGAACTATTAGTTCATGTCTTTTGTACGTATTTCTGCTTGGATTTTGTCCTTATTGATTTTAGCTCTGAAGGTAAATATAAAAATTACCCATCTTCCTATGATATGAAATGAAAACATATATTTATAGTTGTTTATCATCTTACTCTTCTTAAGGTGATTTTTGCCCTACAGATTTTTTTTTTATGTGTAGTTGAATTTATCAGTCTTTTATAGCATCTAGGTTTTGTTGTGTACCCTGTACCTTAAAATACTCTCCAAACTTTGACATTATATAAACTTCTCCCATGATTCTTCAACTATTTTTTTTTTAAATTTAAATCTTTGATGTATTTGAAATGTATCTTGGTGAATAGTGTGAAGTGCAGAGCCAAGTTAAATTTTTCTAGATGGCTATCCAGTTATTCTATCACCAAATATAATTCCTTTTTTTTTTTTTTTTACTGACGTGAAATTAAATTCCTAAGTACATTTGGATGTATTTTTGGACTTTCTATTCTGTCTCATTGATTACAGATCAACTGTGGCTCCATTCTTTCTTGATGACAAAACCCTGATTTTTTATTTTATGGTGATTTTTCTCCAGTTCCTCAGGGAAGGTGATTCCCAGATCAGACAGAGAGTAAATCATGGTTGGTCTAAGCTACTATTGGTGGTCTTATTCTCTTTGCTATTTATTTGTTTATTCTTGGCCAATAGGACTTGAAGAAAAGTTTATTGGGTGGCTGCTAGGAATAAATCTATTATACATACAAAGAAAGATGTTTAGCTGTCAGTGAACATATAAATCTGAAATTCAGAAGAGAGGTCTAGAATAGAGATATAATTTGGGAGATTATCACTACATAGATCGTACTTAAAGTAATGTGATGAGATAAGACTATCAAGGAGTGAGCATAAATGGAAAACGTTAAAAAGTCAAAGTATTGATTGGAGCACTGCAGTATTCAGAGGTCAGAGAAATGTGGAGAAGCCCAGAGCGGCCAGTAAGATAGAACTAGGGGAGAGGAGTGTCATGGTAGTCAAGGAGGAGAAAATAATCAGCTGTATCTAGTGCTCTTGATTGGTCAAGTAACACTGAGAATTGAATGTTGTTAATAAATGGACATCACTGGTGACCTTGATAAGAGCATTTCAGCAGTGTGGTGAAGGTGAAAGATTAACTGAACAGGGTGTCATAGAAACTGGGGAAAAGGATGTCAAGACATTGTGTATAGCACAGTTCACCTTTGTGAGACATTTTGCTGTAAAGGAGAGCAGAGAAATGGAGTAGTAGCTGGAGGGTCAAAACTGGGTCAAAAGAGAAGTATTTTTTATTTTTGAGGTGGAACAAATAAATTCATATTGGTATGTCAACGGGAAAGAAAGACAGAAAAATGACTATGTAGAACAGAGGAAGAATTGCTGGATAGATATCTTTGAGAAAGTGGAACAGTACGGGACCTAGCATGGTGCTACTCAAAGTGTGATCTGTGAACTAGTGATGGTCTAGGAACAGCTTGTCACCAGTTTGTGTCAGAAATTGAGAGTAAATATATATTTTATAATAATTTGACCAAAAAATTTATGTCTGTTACGTCTAATAATAAAAACATCTGACCTAGAGTAGTCAAATTCATAGAGACAGAAAGTAGTTGGTGGTTGTCCAGGGCTGCAGGGAGGAGGCAATAAGGAGTTATTGTTTAATGGGCACAGAGTTTCAGTTTTGCAAGATGAAGAGAGTTCTGGAGTTCAAGGTGGTGATGTACCACAGTAATGCCATTGAACTGTACACTTAAAAATGGTTACAATGGTAAAAAAATCTGGGATTACATTTTTATGTCTGTTTTTAAATTTAATTTTCTAGTAGTTAATTTTTATCATATTTTACAAAAATGTAGCTTTGTGACTAATTGTGAATAAAAAACCAAACCACAGATATTTTGAGAAAAACTGAGGAAGATTTGACCTCTGCCAAAAGAAAAATCATTAGTAGTAAGGAAAGGAAGGCAGAGGATAGGAGCAGAGTTACAGGCAGAACAGACTTAGGTAGTTGGTAGTTGGAAGTCATGGTGGCTGGTAGGAAATTATAGATATTCTCTTTTTCTGCCTCATTTTCTCAATGAATTGATAGTAAAATCATTAGTGAATTGAGGATAAGGGAGGAAAGTTTGAAGAGAGAGATGTTAAATAGTTATTTAGTAGGGTGAGAGAGTGTTTAAAACTGGAGAGATATAGTATAGCCAAGCTTTAGGGGCCTATTTGAGGATAATGCTATCAAATTTAAAAGGAGACCAGTCAGTATGGTTTTGGGTTTTTCTCCATTCTCCCCCGACCCCGTTTTGCTGCAGGTTCAGGATTAGAGTTTTGTCAGTTGAATACAAGGAAAGGAAAGTCAAACTGGAGCAATGAAGATTAAATACCTGGGAACGATTTTCATGATGGACCATAGAATCTAAGCTGTTTAAGGAAGGAAGTGAAGACATGGCGTAGTGTGAAGAATAGTGAAAAAGAGGTAGCAGGATCAGTGGATTTTGAGTCTTGGTGGAGTTGAAGAATTTTTGGAGCTGGGTTTTAGAAGAGAGCTAGAAAGGAAGGAGTTTGTGGTGGGAGAGTTGAAAGATTAAAATTGAGATTATGGAGGGGTTACAATTTTTGGTTAATGAGATCTAAGGTATGAGCACGGAAATGAGAGGCTGAGGAAAGGGTTATCCCTGGAGGAGAGGAACCTGAAAGGACAGAGCATTGGAAGAATTATCTAAGAGAACTGAAATTATCAAGAATTATGACAATAGTAATGAATGACAGTGAACTAGAGCACAGAGGTCTATAGGTGACTGGAACGAGTGAGTGTTCTAGTCTATCGTTATGATGTAATATACAAAGCTCTTATTTTTTAAAAGGATAGGATTTGAGGGGTTATGACTCTTAAGAATCCAGGAGGGAGAGAAGGTCCGGCGAGGGGGTTGAGACTCCATCGCTGAGTCTGCGCAGTGAGAGTGGAGGCGGGGCCAAGCTCAGGCTCGAGGGCGGGGGCGGGGTCTCACGGGGGGGTCGGAGTCAGCGCTGTGAGCCCCGCTGCGGCTGCGGCTGCTGCACTTCAGCTTCTGAGAGAAGGAGGCCGAGGCCTGGGCCAAGCCCGGAGCCGCCGCTCGCCGGAGCCTCCTGGAGCCCCCGCGCCGGCTCAACCTGGGGGCGGGCTCAGGCCCAGCCCGCCGCCGAGCCCAGGACAGAGGCTGCATGCCCGAGGACCAGGCCGGCACAGCCATGGTGAGGGAGCAAGGCCTGCTTGAACCGCAGCCGCCCGCCCTCCTGGCCCCCGCAGCCTCCCCCTCCCTAGCTCTGGTGCCCCCTCAGTGCCCTGCCTTTACCTCACCCCCTTGTTATCGCCCCCTAGGTGGCCCGCTCCTCCTTCCCAATGATCCTCGGCCACCTGCTGGGACGACGCTACCCCTCATCTCTCTCCTTCCCGGTGACACCCTTTTTTTAATCACCACCGGTGACAGGCTCTTTCGCGTTCCCCTTTGCCGCCCTCTCCTCGTCCTTTAACCCGACCTTTTTTTCTCCTACCATTTTGCATTTTTCTCTTATTTGG